CCGCCACCGCAACATAAGGGGGAGGGGGAGGAGGAGGAGGGCGCTCCGGAGCGCGGCGCGGCGGCGGCGGTGCCCTCTGCCTGGAGCGGGCGCTCCGTGGGGCCCGGGGCGGGGCGGATGGAGAGGCCGGCCCCGCCCCGCCACCTCAACCTTCCTTACGCCGGGGAGCAGAGGGTTGAAGGCGGGGTGGCAGGGCGAGGCGGGCGCCTATAGCGGCCGGGGGCGGAGGGTTCTAAATTTTTAAGCACGGCACTATACATCCCCTTCCGACGGTCAGAGAGCGCAGGGAGGGCGCCGAGCTATTGCACGGCACTACGACCTCACCACACCACCCTGGGGCGGACAGAGCAGCAGCAGCGGGGGGCGCAGGCGCAAGCCCGGCCTGGGGCTGGAGTGGAAAACTTGTTCCCTCGCCCGCTGCGCCCGCACCAGCTGAGCCCCTTCCACTTCCACTCGACTCTGCAGCGACAAACAATCGGCCCGCTCCGCTCGGGAGGAAACGGAACGAGGCATCGCTTATCGCCATGCAGGCCTTGTTGGTGGCCGTCTGTCCGTCTCTCTCGCGGCGGCGGCCATGGCGGCCATGGCGGGGACGCTACCGACGGCGAGACCGACGGGCACCCCGCGCGCCCGGCCCCGGACTGGGTCCCGGGACTTACGATAACACTTTATTACGGCCCCAGCAGTGTCGTCACTCCGCTGCCCGCCACGCCCCGCCACGCCCCGCTTCCTCCTCTTTGTGTCACTCAAGGATGACGCCGGTCGAGCCCCTGTTCGGCCATCTCCTTGCGCCAGTCGCGATGTTGGGGTCCGCGGGAAGCCGAGCACAGACTCTGGCTAGCACAGCGTTTGCTAAAACAGGTCTAGCAAGAAAAAAAGGTATCCAGCAGGTTTTTAAGCAGTTCCAGTAAAAGTTTTCATTCATTAACAGAGTACTTGTTGGAGATATGAAGTAAATTAAATTTGCTACTGATGTGACATCCAAACAAATCGTCTGGTGAATCGAAAATCTTGTCATTGTAGCAACAGAGTTTGCTCAAACAGCAAGCAAACACACTTTTTTCAGCAAACGTTGTTTTTATTCCACAAGGGGCGTGGCACTAGGGGAGAGAGGCTAGGGGCAGGTCGGCGACACCCAGCACCGTGTCGAAGAGCTTCGTGTCGGAGGTAAGCGCTCTTGCTGCTGGCCGCGAGCAGCGAGACAAACGCCAAGCAGTGCGTGACGCGTCCCGTTTTGCGGGCCAAATGGACGCGGGTCGGCTCCTCGGCTCGCGGCCCTAACCTCACTCTAGCCGCGTAGCCCAGCCTGCGCGCCACCCCTCTGCGCGAGCGGTACACCCCCTGCCGAGCCGGGCCGGGGCCAGCAGGCTGGGGCCGGGCCCCCACGGACGAAAAGTGCACGGTAAAAATAGTTTCTTGTATTACAAGACTTGGTCTTGGATGCCATTGGCGTTCTCCATAAGATCCAAGACCGGGTCTTGTAATACAAGAAACTATTTTCACCGTGTGGTCGTTCAGAAACGCACGGGGGAAGGGGGCGGGCGAACTATCGTGTACATTGTTTCATCAAGCGGAAATTTAGTCTGACAATCAACTGAATCACACATGGGTCAGGTGTGGTTGCCGTTGAGGTAAATCTTGAAGTCATGCAGGTGATTCAGCTGAGAATGTAGGCCTCTGACTGGCAAGCCGTGCCGCAGTCTTTCACAGTGAACAAGCTTTAGGCCCCTGTGGCCCGAGGGCCCGAGAGGGTATGCAATTCCTCTCTGGCTCAGTGTACAGTACTGAAGGCGACACCAAAAGCCAGCTGACTCAAACTCTCCGACCGATACATATAAACAGAAGCACCCCCCCCCCCCTCACACACACACACACACACACAAACAGAAACGAGCTGGACTTCGATTCGCTCGCAGTCAGTGCGTGATCGGCGATCATTGCTTCATTGACAGACACTGCGCCCAGCTGTGTGGAAGCCAACTCGTGCACATTTTTACAAAAATATACGGCTTATCCGACATGACAGAACACATTGCACCAGAAGGCGGCAGTATCTCGGGGGCGCGTTACATTTGTTATCGCGGCCGGTGAAGTAGGATACAAAACACAATAATAAACTGCAAACCAATCTACAGGAACCGTGTTCTATCAAACACTCAACATCTTCGTAGGACGAAAGCATGTCTACATACTCTTGTAACCAGCGGACACACAATATTTTATTCAGTTCGACGCATGTGTGTAAAAGTGACGACACCGGATTCAACACGTCTCCACTGATTGCCATGTTGCCAATCATGATCTTTTTTGAGAAACACTCACCTGTTTGCACTCTGATGGTTGCGGCGAGTTAATCCAATGGACCGTCGTCTTCCGGCGCCGAGGACCGCATTCAATGTCGCACTTCACTACTTTTTGTTTGGCACTCGACTCGCTGTGGTTATCACTCACTCACTCACTCCCTCACTCACTCAGATCACTCTTGTCACTGCCAGTCACAGGGGCGGGGCTCGGCGTGGCCATAGCCACAGCCGCGTGCGTCGAGTAGCTCGGCGTGTCGCGGGGCGTAACTTGCACGTCCGAGGAGGGGGCCGCGGCGCGACGTGGCGCGGGGAGCCGTGCGTTCCGTGGCGCGGCGCGAGACCGACTGACAGAGGCTGCGCTGCGGCGGCCGGGGGCCGGGGGCCGGGCGGCTGGCTGGCTGGCGGTGTGGGGCGCGGCGGGGCGGGGCGGGAACGCTGCGCCGGGCGCGCGGGCCCCACTGAGTCAGTCGCGGCGGCGTGCAGGGGCCTGCGGGGGGCCCCCTGACCCATCCATCTCTCTCACTCTTCTCCACTATCTACGCATACACACACACACACACACACACACACACACACACACACACACACACACTCACACACACACACACACACACACACACTGACACCCCTTCCATGCGCCTCAAACTCGACCCTCGTTTAACTTCACACCCCGTCCGACCTGCTGGTCCGACAACCAACCCGTCACCTCCTCCCCCCCCCCCTCTTTCCCCTCATCTGGCCTCTCCCCGGCCACCCTCACTATCGCCTTGCTGATAAGCCTAGCGAGCGAGCGTGACTGAGTGACAAGTGATTCCGATAAGAAAGTCAACCTATGCAGTAGTTGACATCCGGGCCGAAGGCAACCCCCGCACGCACCACACTCCGCACACAAGTTACAAACACACGCACACAGCTCTCTGTGCACACACACACACACACACACACACACACACACACTTGCGTGTGTGTATGTAGTTGCGGTAGTTGGCGCACTTTGCCCCGTTTCCGTACGTCATTTCCTTCCGACTACACACCAATGCACACACACACTTCTTCCTGTCCTCACGACTCGTCTCGATTGTTCGTTACGAGTTCAAATCCCACCAGCAAGGGCGTCCCGATCGGTCCCGATACTCTTTTCTCCTTTTTGCCGAACAGCCGTGAGCGGCTCGCAGGCACTTACTACCTGCTGCGGCCTGCGGGGCCTGCGGCGGGCCGGGGATGACCTCGCGTCTCGTCCGAGCGTGTCGCTGACTTTGCGCCACCATTAGCAAAGAAAACAAAGCAGAAGGTGCTCGCTCATTTCCCGATTGGAACTATCAATAAAAAGTCAGCGTTCGTAGAGCTATGAAATTAACTGAACATGCGGCTTTGTTACTCTCATGCCAAGAGGCTGATAGCTGATTAGCCTCATGTACAGGGTGGGTGATCCGCGCCGTGGTTTTTTTTCTGCTTATACTGTACCGCATTCATGCGTGCGGACGGGTTGCATACTCGCACGGGGCCGTAAGGCGCCATGGCGAGCGACGATAGGCAAGCCCGCCCGCACGCATGAATCCGGTACAGCATAAGCAGAAAAAAACCACGGCGCCGATCACCCACCCTGTAGAGAGACTCCCGGGGTAAAATTCCGATGGCCTATCCTATAGGAACAGCTTTCCCATAGGCACCCATGGGGATCCCCATGAGACAAACATCGGGACCGTTCCGATGAAATTATGGCCTGTGGGAACCCATGGAGGAACCCATGGGAACG